AACGAGCAGACCAGCTGGAAAAGGAAAGATAAGAACGTTGAAAGGATCGATCACGCAATACGGTTAATTCCCATCAGCTGAGGGATGATTCACACTGACATCAAACAATGCGTCTTGCTGCCGATGTACATGAACTGCATGTAGCTGTGGTGATGAAAGAACTGATGTAGTCGCGGCACCAATCTGGTGTCCGTTAGTGTCCGTCACCGGCTTGAAGCGAGAAAAGGCTGAACGGGTTCCTGTCCCCGGGGAAAATTGCAATTCCGCGGCCGCGTTTTTTTCCGCGTTTTTTTGCGATTGTTTAAAAGACCGCGTTTTCCGCGATATTCCCGCGTTTTTTGAACTTTTTTGTTGCACTACACGTACACACAGTGCACTGTCCAGTCAGCAACGTCTCATCGTGGCGGCTTTTTACTCAAATATGACGAGTGCTTACACCAGAGACTTGTAACTTATTGATTTCACTACATACTCACTGAAAATTGCCGCACATCAATAGTATTCACCGCATATTTACCGCATATTTACCGCAAATTCACCGCAAATTATGCCATATTATGCCGCGTTTTTTGCGATTTTTTTCCGCAATTTTCCCCGGGGACAGGGGTTCCAAATCGGTCAGGAGCACTCGGCGTTGCAACATTGTCAAATCGGAGGCAGCGATAATCGGTCAGCGTAGCCACCCCCACCACGTAAACCAGCTACGTGTACGTGTTATCAAGGGTGTTCTAGCTACGTGTACGTGTTATCAAGGGTATATACTCTTGATGTTACACACTACTCTTCGTGTTATCCAGAAGTGGAAAAAGTCGAAATGTGTCGACCATACAGGTCAATAAACGGGTAGAAAAGGCCACCAAATATTCAGACCCGGTAGATCTACAGTATCTGGGCACAGGCAGTACCAGCAACCATACACATCACCGACATTATAGACTTGTAGGTATGTGTAGGTATGTGTGGGTATGTGTGGGTATGTGTGGGTATGTGTGGGTATGTGTGGGTATGTGTGGGTATGTGTGGGTATGTGTGGGTATGTGTGGGTATGTGTGGGTATGTGTGGGTATGTGTGGGTATGTGTGGGTATGTGTGGGTATGTGTGGGTATGTGTGGGTATGTGTGGGTATGTGTTGGTAATACTGGGTATGTGTGGGTATGTGTGGGTATGTGTAGGTATGTGTGGGTATGTGTGGGTATGTGTGGGTATGTGTGGGTATGTGTGGGTATGTGTGGGTATGTGTGGGTATGTGTGGGTATGTGTGGGTATGTGTGGGTATGATGTAGGTATGTGTGGGTATGTGTGGGTATGTGTGGGTATGTGTGGGTATGTGTGGGTATGACAACTGAAACAGTCATCATGTGTTTAAAATTAATAATACATCATTACAGTCATGTAGGTGATCGTGTCTTCACTGTCTGCTACTGGCCCTGCCAGTGAACGCATTGACTCGGTTATCCACAACAGCACCAGCGAGGGGAATGAGAGGGGGGAAAACGTTGTTCAGGGTAAGTGGTTTTATAGCTCAGACTCTTGCTGCAATACGTGTGAGCATGTAGCACGTCTTGGGCTGTGCTGGGAATAACTTCCTTTCCTTTCATGTGGTGACATAACCATTGGCAAGTCACAGAGAAAT